GGGGGGGGGGGGTGTGTGCAGAGCCAACACTTGACATTTTTAGGTTGAGTGAAAATAGGCAATTGTCGCCCTCTGGAAAATTATGGGAAGAGTTCAGAAATTTTTTTTTTAAAGCAACTTTTTTGGCTTTTGATGTTGCAAATTTTAATTGCAATTTTTCAGAATTTAAGTTATTAGTAATATTGCTTTCAATAGAAATCATCGCTAAGTTGTTTAAATGTTCCTGAGTCATGGTCGGTCGTAAATAATTTTTGATGTTTTTAAGTTTCGATAAATTTCGATAAAGAGCATAACTCTTAATGCAATTGATGTGTTGACATAAATTTCATTCAAATTATTTTTGTAAATGTAGTTTAAACATTTTTCTGAATCTATATCTTCTTTGAATCGTGATGCAAGAGACTTATTCCAATTGCAATTCTTCTCGGAAAAATCTCATTGTGTTCCGTCTGTTAACTTTTTTGCTAAATTTTCACAAAGTGTTTTTAATTCATCATCAGGCAAAGATTAAATATTTTTTAGTCTTGGCGCCTGTGTGATGATCACACATCGTACCCGCCTTGAGCCGGCCCTGGGGTGTAGACCGCACCGGGTGACACCATCTCAGGGGGTGACAACACACCCTTTTGACCATGCTTCAATGTCGAATGACGTTCGATAACTGACTTTTATAAGTGACAGGAAACTATATTTATCTAAATTCTGAGAAAATAAAGCTATCCTTTGATAATAATGGTTGATTCTAAGTATATGTCACAGTTCTTAAATACATTTACCTCTTGCCCTTCAATTAATTTGTTTTTGTTCATTGCTATACTGTGGACAAAGTTTAACAAGAAGAATTACATCGTGGAAGTCGAGGGGGTGGGGGGGTGACACCACAAGCTTACCGGACTTGGTGACACTAACCCTAGCTTGATTGTATTTTCTCCCATTGCTACTTGTTGCTGCTTTTAAAAAAATAGATATGTTTTTATGCATTTTGATTAGCAGCAGTAAATGTTTTTCTGGTGAATTTTGTTTGCGTGTTGCTTGATAATTTTTTCCCTTGTTTATATAAAGAGAATTAAAAAAATAAAACTATGATAACTTAATATTTTAAATTATTTTTAATTTTATTACTATATAATTTATAATGTTGGGGGAGGGGGGGTGTTTAAAACGAAGTGGGCCTAGAGCAGATAAGATACCCCCCCTCCCTGGTCAACAAATTTTTTTCTTTCCTACCAACTTCACACGTAGCAGTCCTAATGCTATGACTCCTGTGTCCACATTTAGCAATAAATTCTCACGACGATCAATGTAAATACATTCCAATTCTCCTCCTCCTTGGCATCCTGTAACTTGATCAGAGGCCATTTTTCGGACCTCGCATACCTGTACTGATTCTCTCAGTGTAGTTAAAAAATAAAACAATTATAATTGTTGTATAAAAGATTAATGTTAAAAAATGTCTGTAATTTAGAATTATTAAGTGCAATTCTTTCCACTTTTCATGTGACATCACATTGTTTGAGCGCCCCCCCCCCCTTCCCATCGTAAAGATTAATGTTAAAAAATGTCTGTAATTTAGAATTATTAAGTGCAATTCTTTCCACTTTTCATGTGACATCACATTGTTTGAGCGCCCCCCCCCCCATCCCCATCGTTGCACATCATCACAAAAATCTGCCCCCCCTCCCCCCTAGATGCGTGATGTCATTTATGGATGGCCCCATACATTAAAATTTAAGGACCTTGCAAACTACTCTTCATGTATATAAATAGATTGTGCATCATTGTAAGTATAATAATTTAGCTTTTAGTTTGTCAGAAGGCCACATGCCCAAATGGCTGCTGGATCAGGATGATTATGATGAAGCTATTAACAACATTAAGATAAGATTCTTTATTGATCCAAATAAATGGAAATGTTTTTTTATTACTTTGCACATATTCATTTTCAGTACATAAATACACATTTTAACCAAGACAACATTTTAAATTTATAAAATTTAAATACATGACATCCAAATTATTTCAATAGTGTAGAAATCAGCCATCAATGAACTCCTTTAGTGAAAATAATGACTTAAATAGTGATCATTTAAACTAAATAAACTTGAACATTGTGGGTCTCTCTAGTCAGGATCACTTTATGTCTGCAGGAAGTTAGAAAATTACAAGGAGGCTGGGTGGTCTGCCATGTCTGGGCTGGAAAAAGATCTGCAGCAACTAGAGGCCCACTTAGATGAGCACTTTGGTGATGCAGACGAAGGTAAATAAGATCCTTTTCTGGGTGCATGATTATACTTTTCGTTTGTTTTTAATGGTAGATCTTGGATAGTACATATTGTTTTGGATGCTAAGATTTCCCTAAGATTTCTCCAGTTAATTAGAATTCATCATCAACCTTCTTAAAAAGCTTATTGCAGAATGGATTATTTAAATATATTGGTTTAAAAAATATATATATTTTGAAATATTACCATTTTTAGAAGGCTGCGACTATTCGCACCCGGGCACCAGAAGTGAGAGGTTGGGATTAAAAAAACTATTTAAAATATTATTGGGTTTGTAAGACAAAATGAGGTATCAAACGAAAGATAATTGAATGGACTATATGTTTGTAAACTTAATTCTTCAGTTTAACTAAAATAAACTGCCACAAATGACATCCGAATAGCACAGGTCTAATGGGACCCGGGTGTGAATGGCGGCCCTGCATGTCCGGGGCCATTTTGACTAAATGCTATCATACTCATTTTTTGTGAGCATTATTCTCAGTAGTATATGGTAGTTATTTGTTGTGAAACTTTTCGTTTTTTTCCCCTTAGACTTATTAGTTTCTTTATTTTTATATTACTTTATGTAACTTATCGTAGACAAAAAGTGTGATGTTAGACTTGGGGATATCTTACTGGAAAAATAGTTATATATGTTCCATAAAAACATTGATGCAATGGTTATTTTTGGACAGCATAACTGAAAAGATGAACTTATTCCAACAGACATGTGGTTAGATGAACAGCCTGATGGAGTTGAAAATATTGAAGATGACCAGCTGCTCTATTCAGATGAACTTTATTGTGTTGCATGTAACAAAGCTTTTAAAAGTGACAAGGCGTAAGTATTTCTTTTTTAAATTGTTGTTACATCTCCTTTTTTTTGTGCTCTTCTTGACAATGGAATTATTAAAAATATATAAAGCCTGTTTAAGAAAATGTTAAATTTTTTAATTTACGAAAAGGAATAGTTCTTTTTTTTTTTTTAAATTGTCATTACACAATAATAGTATTAAATATGAACAAGTGACTTAATTCATGCCACGAGATCACTCTCTCTTTTTTTTTTTAATTCTTAGATTGTCTGTTTCATAATAACAAATGTGAAATTTTTTTTCACTTCCTTTATTCAGATCAGTCAATTTCATCATCTCTTGTTAAAACAGTTTATTTTCTTTGAGAGTATGGATGATAGCATAGAAATAAGGTCAAAGTTACATTATCGTTTTACTTCTTTTTACCCAAGCTTATCAAACCATGAAAAATCCCGCAAACATAAGGAGATGGTGGCCAGCATTACACTGGAACTGCAGCAAGAGGATGAGGAATTGGCTGGTACTAGTGGGACTGATGGCAACCAGGGTGAAGAAAAAATAGCTCCAACAGAAGCTGGAGAGAATGGTGTATCATCTGCAGAGGAGCAGGAGGAACAGCGACAGAGGTTGGTCAAACACTTGTGTCATATCATTGTTCATCTGGTCTTGCATTTCTTATTCACCTCACAATCATTGTTCATCTGGTCTTGCATTTCTTATTCACCTCACAATCATTGTTCATCTGGTCTTACATTCCTTATTCACCTCACATCATTGTTCCTCTGGTCTTACATTCCTTATTCACCTCATATCATTGTTCATCTGGTCTTACATTCCTTATTCACCTCATATCATTGTTACATTCCTTATTCACTTCATATCATTGTTCATCTGTTCTTAGATTTCTTATTGACCTCACATCATCGTTAATCTGGTCTTACATTATTGGTTCACCTCACATCATTGTTCATCTGGTCTTAGATTTCTCATTCACCTTACATCATCGTTCATCTGGTCTTACATTTTTTGTTCACCTCACATCATTGTTCATCTGGAATTGCTTTTTAAAGATTTGTGTGACATAATTATTTTTCTTGCCTTACAATCGTCTACTTTTTTAATTAACCTTTTCTTATTGCTGCTAAGTTTTCATTTTATGTCTGCCGTTCTTACCTTGGTCACATCTGGAGGAGTGGAACTATTAACATTTATACCATAATACAATTTTTATTTCTGATGTTAGAAATATTTCACAAGAAAGGATTTTTTTTTTAAACATATATCTATGTTTAATTGCATCCTGACAATTTTATTTCTTCTTTTATGTTTGTTTTGGCAGACTCTTATAAAGCGGGAAATATTGAACAATTATCTTGAAAGAAATAGAATTTAAACATTCCCCTTGGAACTAACCTGGTTTTAATAAACTCGCATTAAAAAAACATTTACATGGTCAAAAGCAAAGTTATTACTTTTTGAAGTATAATTTTATTAAGTTTTTAAACATAAAAATGTTTTAAAATAAACTGCTATTTATAAAAGGAAATAACTTCATGATAATATATATATGTATTGAAGATGCATATATTCATAATTGTACATTCTCTTCAAGTGAACTACGATGGGGAATTCTGTATTTATTTATTTTAATTGTCTAACCATCTCTCTGCAGTTACAGTGTGGACTGCAGTTAGAATATTATTTCACTGTCATACGTTGCAAATAACACTGTCATACGTTGCAAACAATTTTAAGTCCATGCATAAAAGCATGTTATTGGCCAAAATATAAATAGAAGGGAATGATATGTGCTTGAAACAATTAATAACCCCAGAAATGAGGCATACATATTAAGTTGATTCTATAATGAATGTCCCCAATAATGTGTTCATTGTGAAAAATGGAGAATACAGCACACAAAAAAATACTTGAAGATTTACAAAAATTCTTAGTGTGACTCTAAAGCAAGAAATGGTACATACATATATGAGAACATTATTTATACAGCCTTTTTTACTTTCTGTAAACTACTTGGCGTATTGCTTTGCATTTGAGGTTTTCATTGAAGTTGTATCTAACACTCTTTTTACAGTCTCTAATCATGTTGAAATTGATAGGGACAAATGCCTTACAAAGCGGTCGTGCTTTCTATTACAACTTTATTATTTAAGCTTCAGTTTTTTAAAAAGCTGGTTCACTAGTTTCATTTATTCGTAATTTTGTTGTCAAAAGTGGTCAAATTAAGAAAGTGCACACATTTTTTTTATGGGGAGACCCACCACTGACACCAAGACACTACTGACACCAAAACACCACTGACACCAAGACACCACTGACACCAAGACACCACTGACACCAAGTTACCACTGACACCAAGACACCAATAACAAAAAATGAGTCTGAAACTTAAATTAGTGCGCAATTGCTCTATGTTACCGTTGCTGTACTATTTTCTGTAATATGCTCAATAAGTGATGGGCTGCCATCAGCAGAGTTAGTTGTATTCATGACTGACACGGTGATGTTCTCTGATGGAGCAGTTGTCTGCTGTGCTTTGGTGGACTGCAAGGTGGCATCATCCCAATCCAAGTCTGGGCCTTCTGTTGTTGTAGACTGAATGTAATGATTGTAGATTCGCTGCCAGTACCGCTGAAACAGGTTGGTCAACATGTCCTCCATGTCCATAGAGGTGTCCTGCATGGTGGTCTCCTCATGGTCTTGGTTTCTCTGCTGTAGAAGGCTGGGTAAGTTGATGCCAAGGTTGTTCAAGTAATGAGCGTAGTTTAGCGAAGTATGGTATGGACGGTGGAACCCTCCGCCATGATGGTTTAAAAAGGGGCGATGGTAAGTCTGACCAAATGAGTGGGGTGGGTAGTGGTGAGTCTGACTTGATGCAGGGGGTAGGTAGTGGTGGGTCTGACCGGACGATGGGGACTGGTAGTGCTGGGTTGAGCCAGAGCTACTATCTTGATGTCTTCTGTATTCGACTGATGGAGTCCTAGACTGAAAATTGAATCCAGACATTGGGAAACTTGTCTGTGTCGCAGTCCCTGTGTTTTGTTTTGCATCATCACCCGTATAACGTTTCTGTCTTTTGGGCCTGGCCTTCATAAGATCCCTCAAGATTGAGAAACTAGTTGCTCTCACAGGCAGGTCTGAAAGAACTGTGTTGTGTGTATCATGTTTGCCAATGGCCACTTGTTTATCTAGTAGGGAAGCAAAATGATTTTCAACTTGCATGTGAACATTTTGAAAAGGTTTATTGAGAACTGTATTGCTTTCATCTGGAACTGTCCTGGACTCAATGATCTCTCGGCTGTTCTGCTCACTAAAAAGAGTGTTTGTATCTTCTCTGTTAGCAATACTGTCTTCATCGTCTAGGACATCAGATGTGTGAGATTCACTGCCGAGCACCTCTGCTTGAAAACTGTTAAGTAGAAAATGTTTGTTTCGTTCATTTTCATCAACTTCTTCCAGATAGTCATCATTATAGGAAAGATTGTTTTTTCCCATTGTCTCACTCGTTTCAGGGGACATGACTCTCCCTCTTTTGCTATTCTCCAAACCCCAAACCTGTTGACGAAAGTCTGACGATTCCCCGGTCAAAATGTTCACCTGAGATGGTTTTCGTGTCTCTTCAGTGGACAGCTTTACACTGTCATCTGGTTTACCCAGGCCCCCTGCGGTAGTTGTGACCCAAGCTCTTAAAGTGTTTTTCACATCATGCTTAGATTCTATCACAAGATTTCTGTCTTTGCTTGGCTCTTGCACACCTTCGCTGCCCTGCTGCACATTGTCATTGAATGCTGCTTGGCTGATCTTCCTAGATGGAGGCATAATTATTACTTTGGTGTCCAGGACTCCAGCCCTTCTTGTGGGATCTGTTAAAGAATGCAGCTGACTTGGTTGAATTGTTTGAGACAATATTTTTTCTGGGCGTAGTTTTTTGTTTAATTTTGTCTCTGGGGAAGAAGGACCTCCTATGTTTGAAGAATTCTCATTGGATAATCTCTGCTGGTTTTTCATCTGAGGTGAGAATGAATCATCCTGGACCATGTCACCAGGATTTGACCTGATTTTGTGGTTCACCGGTGTGGTACTTGGATACGTCTGTACTGTTGCATGGTCCTGAGGTCTGATATCCATGTGTTTTTGTAGAATGCTTGTAAGATATGTCCTGACTGAGCCTGTATCCAAGTGTTGGGCTTTGGTGGATGAAAACAAGGTTTTCTTCTTGAGCAGGTAGGTGATGATTTCTGGTGAAAATGTTTTATTTTTCATTACAGAGTCAAACACAGTGTTTGGGCCACTCTCTGATGCATTTTCTGCTTTCACTCTTGGAAATGGGGTGTTGTTGCCTTGTGGTAGTGAAAGGGTGTTGTCATTGGTTTGGTTGACCTGAGATGTTGATAGGTCATTGTCATTGGTTTCGATGTCATTATATATTGACAGGTTCTTGCCTGTTGCTTCGTTGACTCTGGCTACTGATAGAATCTTGTCTCTGGTTTGGTTCAGCTGAAATGATGATGGAGTGTTGTCAGTGGTTGCATTCACCTGATATGCTGATGGGGCATCATGCATTCTGCTATCCGCTTGAGATTGTGAAAGAATGATGTCATTGTTTACTTGAGATACTGATTCATTCTTATCTCTGCTGTCTCTTTCTGTTGGAACTGCAATCTGCTCCTCAGTTTGTCTTCTTTTCCTTACACCAGAATGTTGACTCTGTTTTTCACCTGATGGAATTTCATGTGTCCCAGTAACATTTTCTTCTTCAGCCTCAGACAGCAGCAAGTTGTTGATCTGGTAAAATAAAATTTACACCATCAAAATGTATTAGTAACAAAATGTATTGTTATTTTTTACCCACTTCACAATCTAAAAGGAAGAAACTCAAATGCTATATTAATGTCTGTTTTGCAAAATGTTAATCTAACTAGATTCCAATATTTAACAGCACACTGGTCAGCAGATTTTCTCTTTCAATGAAAAAACAACACGTTTTTAGTATTCAATACATTATTTCAACTCACCATGCCTGTGGGCCGTTCACCAGAGCTCTCTTTTCCAGAAGTGTCTTCAAAGTCCTCTAAAAATGGTGATGATGCTTTTTCAGGTCCTGTCAGTGGACCACCATGACTGACCACCAGCTGACCGCTATGACCGACCATAGGCAGAATTTGTTTCAGTTTTACATGGAATGTTACAGGTCCACGCTTACCATCCCCCTGGAGAAGGTCATCCTCAAAGGACTTAATCTCAAGTGGTTCCAACTGACCCAGGGCTGAATCAAGTGGGGACTCTGCTTGGACAGACTTAATGTCGTGGTCAGGCTGGTGCTTGAGGGCAAAAGCTAACTTAGAGTTTATTCGGCTGATGACGTTTTGAAGTCTTGTGCTGATGTCGGTGCCGTCCGCAGTCATTGGCTCCGCCCACTGTGACGACCGCCTCAAGACTTCATCCTGTCTCGATTTATGCAATGCCCCGACAGATGAGAAGTTCTCATCGCTGTTGCTTCCTCCGCTGCTTGCCCCGCCGCTGGTGTCGCCGTCAGTCCATGATGTTGTCGCAACTGATTGTTTCCCGTCAATTATGTTATTGATGGGATCAAAGATACCTCCGACGGGGGTCATAACTCTAGATGCGGGCAGTAGATCAGTCTCTTTATCAGTTCTGTCCCTGTCTTCACTGCGCATGTCATCATCTTCATCTTGCGACTCATTAGAAGATTTGCTGTTGGCAAGTTTGTCTTGATAAGTGACTTCACTCCCTTGTTTGTGCACTTTTCCCTTAGACATGTTGGCCGTCTGGAATTTCATATGTTCATAGGACATTAGCGAAGACAAAAATAGTGCCAGCTCATATAAAAAAATGTGCTTATTGTTTCAACAGAGAATGTAAAGAATTTCATCATGCATTTTGTAAGTTAGAACTAAAGATGAAAGAAGAACTTTCGAGCTCAGAATACACTTTTGTCAGTCATTTTGAATCAAAATTAGAATAGGCTAATGCTTATGGGAGAACTTGCAAAACTCTTATTAAAAAGGAAGATCTATTTTTCACAGCTACTGGGTCAACCAGGTAACCAGACCTGGAAAGTAATCCTTTTTTTACTGAAGTGTGTGAGGAATTTAAGTAATGAATCTATCTAGTAACCATGAGGTATCAAGTATCAAATTTTTCTACGATCATCCCCAAATAGCTTATAGGTGGGGGTGAAATAGCCTGTCAATCAAAACAAGGTGGCTTTTCTTGAGGACAAGGTAGATATGAGTAAAAATAAACTCAACCACAAAAGTCAGGTGATAGCAGAAAAGTTGGCATTGGACTAGAAAGTCAGGTCATAGCAGAACAGTTGGAATTGGACTAGAAAGTCAGGTGATAGCAGAACAGCTGGAATTGGACTAGGAAGTCAGGTGATAGCAGAACAGTTGGAATTGGACTAGAAAGTCAGGTGATAGCAGAACAGTTGGAATTGGACTAGAAAGTCAGGTGATAGCAGAACAGTTGGAATCGGACTAGAAAGTCAGGTGACAGCAGAACAGTTGGAATCGGACTAGAAAGTCAGGTGACAGCAGAACAGTTGGAATTGGACTAGAAAGTCAGGTGACAGCAGAACAGTTGGAATCGGACTAGAAAGTCAGGTGACAGCAGAACAGTTGGAATTGGACTAGAAAGTCAGGTGACAGCAGAACAGTTGGAATTGGACTAGAAAGTCATGTGACAGCAGAACAGTTGGAATTGGACTAGAAAGTCAGGTGAAAGCAGAACAGTTGGAATAGGACTAACAAGTCAGGTGATAGCAGAACAGTTGGAATTGGACTAGAAATCCAGACACACACAAAATTAAGTAAGATGTCAAACAAACAAAATAGTAATGATGAAATAACAGAAGGATTTGAAGTCAATTTGTGAGTTTTAGTTTAACCTGCCGTTATAAATTTTACTTTAGGAAAACTGCAGCCCTGTGTTGCACTTACACAAGATTTGATGCCTTTATCTACTTAGTACAGGTTTGTGTTTGATAAGGCCGCCGTGGTTACTATAACCCTGCTATTATTTTCATGCAAATAAATTTAGGCTGTAAAAGTATTATAAAGCTATTTTACTATTGTAAATATGAGTCTGTTACTGACCTGTTTGAGAATGTCCTCTAACAGCAACACTAGAAGCTCCTGTAACTGTTCCAAATTGACCACCGATCTCTGCACAGTCAAAAAACTCTGTACTAGACTGCCGAGGCTGCCCTCTAGTCGAGATAAGCTGTGGCCAAGCTTTTCTAGGCTGAAATTGCCCTCACCTTCCTTTGCATCATAAACTGATTCTGTCATGACGGCACCATTGACCACGGGCTCGGAATTTCCTGAAAAATGCAGCGAGCCTGTTCCGAGACCAGGGCCTTCCCCGGTGTTTAGATTTGCCAGTTCCTGGTGTGTAAAGTTTGGGGTGTTCAGCAGAAGCAGTCCTAGCCAATAAAGCATGCGAGTCTTGCTGTTTGCAGTCCATTCCATTCTAATTTTACTGTCGGTTTTGCAGGGAAGTTATCATTTCATGTCCCGGCTCTTGATTCACTGGGTCATCGCTTATCACTGTTTTTAGATATACTTTATGGCACAATTATTATTTGCTTGATATAGGATTGCTCACAGATGAACTGCTATTTATGAAATACAGTATAACACTATTTCCACTGTTCAGCTTAGCTTTGGCACTCAATCCAACCGTTTGGGACCATGTAGAGCTCACTCCATCTAAACCTGAAAATCAAGTCTGTAGTGGTTAGTGACTGTATGCCAACCAAGATGATGGGTACCAGGTCAGTGCCAGCAATGCAGCTGTCATGTTTACCAGAGGCAACTTAAAGGAAGGGGGGTAACCGGCCATCAGCAGGGCTTGTGTTTGCTACAAGGGTCCCCAAACTTTTGGCTCATGCCATTATTTGAACAGCTGAATGCAACCCAGTTGGTCTCCTTGTTGCGTATTATGTAACCGCTTTATCTATTTAATGTCCCAATAACAGTTTTGAGACCACTGCTTTATAAGTAAACATGTACTGGTTTCTTTTTCTTCATTGCGATAATATAATTTCTTCTTACTGTTGTATGCAGAGGTTTGAAATGAAATATATAGTATACATTTAACCATTCAACAGAACCAAGAAGTTTTTGGTTTTACAGTCCTGGGTACCTCCCGTGATGTGCCTGAATCCCTCCATTAGAATTATTTGCTGTTTTATTTAGAAGTATGGTGCACTTAAGCAGTTTGTGCATAGAGAAAGCAGGCAAAACTTTTAGGACCACCAAGGGGAGACAACATTCTGAAAGACAGCAGTGGCCAGATAATCTGGTGGGAACTTCCTGTTTGACCTGTCCTTGCTGACATCACACATGGGCCATTCAAGCAGCATCAACTGTATCACCATGACACTTACATGTTTGCCCCCATTGTTTTGTGTCAGTGGCCTAGTGAATAGACTTAGGGGCCTTTTGTTCCTTGTGCTTGATCCCATGGTGTCCTAAATGTGGTCTTTGCTATACATACAACAACCCAAAGTAATTTATTCCCAATGTTCCCTTATGTTATCCTTAGTTTTTTCAACTGAAAATTCTCAAAATTTGAAATATTAATAAAGTAGTTACTTTTATACACAAGGGAAATTGTTTTTTTAGTTGATCTACTCATGTGTCAGCAGTTAGGATATGCGCCAATCTCATTTGTTGAAAGAAAACTAGCCAGATTTTGTTTGCTGCTTGCATATCGTAAAGTAAAGTTTACAGCACTGAGGTAACGAAATTCTCTTAAGGGACTTTTTAAAAAAATTCTTAAGATGCCAGTGGACGATCTCTTGATGATTTGTGTCAACTTACCAATCCTATTCTTACCATTTCAGGTTGATTCATGATTTCTTCTCTATTATACGATTTCAGGTTGATTCATGATTTTTTTCTATTATTCAATTTCAGGTTGATTTATGATTTTCTTTATTATACCACTTCTGGTTGATTCATGATTTTCTTTATTATACCATTTCAGGTTGATACATGATTTTTTTTCTATTATACCATTTCAGGTTGATTCATGATTTTTTTCTATTATACCATTTCAGGTTGATTCATGATTTTTTTCTTTTATACCATTTCAGGTTGTCAAAGAAACAGAAAAAAAAACGTAGACAGAAAAATCTGTTGGAGGTACATAAGTTAAATCTTCATGTCATAATTTAATGAGGGTTGTACACATTTACAGGAAATAATCATTATAGCATAAAACTCTTTGACGAAAGAAGCCGCCTAGTTCATTATAAAACCTTTATGTTAGCCTTGGAGTTGTCAACTGGCTGCTAGGATCACTGCAAGGCTACTCCAGCCTTAACCTTACATCATTAGAAAAGGGTTTGAAATCACCTCAACTGCAGTACTTTTAACTTTCCTGTGACATCCAATGTTTTCAAGGTGGCAGATTTAAAAGCAAAATTTAGCTTTAATAAGTCAACCCAGATTTAATTAGTGTTGTGTCATTTTTTAGAATATGATCATGCTAAATATAATTTTTGTTTTTTAAATGGTTTTCATTACTTTATGTTCCACAGGCGGAAGAAGACATTATAGCTGAAAATATAGCAGATATCAAGCTGACAGAAGAGGTCCCCCAGAAAAGGTGGACATGAAAAATCTTTCAAAGAGTATTGTTATAAATATTTCAGAAACTCACGATTATAAACATATTTCTGTTTATTTTTACCCATGATATACTTGCTTTAACTTAAGGTAATGTTGTCCAGACTGTGTTCATTTAAAACCCTTATTACATTCAAATTAGTTGAATGATAATCATCTCCTGATCATGGGTAAGCTAAGCTACAATGCTTATGAAGATTAAAGTCCAGGTGGAAGTGCTGAAATGCTAGATGCAATAATTGGAACCAGGCCTATGAGATGTTAGAAGCAATAATTGGACAACATGACCAGGCCTATGAAATACTAGAAGCAACAACTGGACAACATGACCATGCCTATGAAATGCTAGAAGTAGAAGCAACAATTAGACAACATGATGAGGGCAAATAGATAATAATTGATGCTGAAACTTTCAATCAGGCAGGAGCGAATTCACCAAAATATGGAACACTGCTGACTATTTGATGTATAAAAATAAAAATATATAATCTTCTTTATTTCTCTCTCTCCCCCCCCCCCATTTTTTTAAAAACACCTTTTTTTCTAATTGGATCAAATGCCTTTTTAAAAAAATTGAAGAAACTTTCCTTTTTTTCTTTTTTTAAAAATTTAAGGAATGAATTTTGCATTTTCATTATCCTTAACAGTTTACATATTATGTTTTGAAAATTCTATAAGCCATACATGAAATAAAAGGGTTCTTGTTGAAGTTTTATTCAAATTGAACACTATATTGGATTATCACAGTTTTAATTATCCTATTTTTTTGGAATTTTGTGATGAAGAGAGTCAAATAAAAACTGTCTATTTTACGGATGATTTTTTACATTCACATAAGAATGAAGAGGCTTGGATTTATCTGTTTATTTGAACATCTGAGTTGTCATATGCTTTGAACCTGCCAGTCCTCTGGCCTATGTGGTGAATAAGATGTCTGGTCCACCTGACAGCAAGTCCTTAAATAAAACTTTAAAAATGGTGTGTTTTTTTTTTAGTTCTGCCAAGTCCAAGAAAGCCAAGAGAAAAGCAGCCAAGATGGCAGACACAGTAAGTTGACAGTAGTAGTAGTAGGCTGTTATTATCTATTTAATAATCCCTTTGTGGACGTTGTCCCCCCTGCTCTCCTCTTGCACCATGCTGCACTGTCACTCACTGATTGATTACATACTAGAGACCGACCGAATTTTGGCCTCGGTGCCGAAAGTTGCCATTTGATCACTTTTGGTTTAATTTAGGTTTCGGCCGAAAGTGGTTGAGACTTTCGGCACTCTCACCAAAAGTGACTGAGGTTTTTGATCATCTACCAGAAGTCTGTCTGTCTCTAGGCCGACAATGCGATATTCCTTATTTCTCGGCGTCTTGCTGCCATCATATGTTATATGATTAGTACTCGTCGAAAACTGCCCACAGTTGTATGATTTCCTACTTGTTCTAAATTTCCAAAAAATTACAGTTAATTTAGACCTAAGCATATGTAAACAGTTTTGGGGAAGAAAAACCTAGGGAATGGTAATATTTATATCATAATAATTTTTTTTTTTCAAAATAAAATTTGGAACCCTATGTTTATTCAATTCCTTCATTTGTGATATTCATTTTCATTTATCATTAGCATGGTCATTAATGTTGTCATAGGCAAAGGTGAATAATATTGCATAATCCTAGGGAATGGTAATATTTCCATTATTATTTTGTTTAAATATGTTTTTTAATTAAAAAAATTAAGGAAACTTATGCTTTTCAAACCATTAATTTCTTGAAATTCATCATTATCATGCTCATAAACATTGTTATTGACAAAATAACATGCGTGTTCATGTATCATGGGTTCCAATAATACTAATGTAGGAGATTTACTGCAGACCTGTTTACTTTTATGATTTTGGCGACCAATTTAGATGTCTTTTGCAATTCCCTGTCGAGACCCGTCAGAACAACAATTTTAAGAGACCCAGTTAAAAAAAAAGATTCTCCCCCACAAATGGTTGTGTGGGAGGTCGGTCGCCAAACGAAATACTTACGTCACCAGCACGGAAAGACTAGTGTGTTAGTACTTGGTTAAATATTAATACAGGGATATCTTGCCAGCTATCTATGAAAACACAAAGCATTAGTATTATGATAACCGCTAAATATTGTGGTGATATTTTTAAAACCTTAATAACTTATAATTAGGTGACAATAGGTTCTATTAGAGCTACGATAATTATTGTAGGTATATGTTCCAGGTTGTAATTATATTATAAAAACAAAGGGCACTCAAGTGTCTATTTTGCATGAATTTTGCCCCTCCCCCCCTTTTCCTAACTTTTTCCTACCATATTACTTAAAAAAAACATTTTAAAGAAATTTAAATTACTTTTAAATTAAAATGGTAAATGCCAAAATATTCATTAGATGTTTATTTAGTAATATTCACGATAATCTCATTTTTATGAAAAGAATGTAACTTTCGGCCTGGTTTCGCCCAAAATCAGAATATCACTTTTGGTCATCTCTATTACATAGGCACTAAATGCACACACAAGAACACATCAATACCCACTGTGCAGTGTGCAGACTTTGGGTTGCTCTACTAAGCATTGGTGGATATATGGCGCACCATCTGGAATCAGTACCTTTTCCATATTTTACACGCATGAGCAACCATGCTGCCCCTGCTAGCATTATAGTAATCAGCCCTCATTTACTATAGCTAGGGCATCACTTTTTTGTGTGTGTCAATGTAATATTTAAATAATATTCTCTGTGAAGACTTTCATTGTTTTAGAAATTTTGATATGTTTATTATGATCTATGTTCCTGTGGGACAGTTCAGTTTACGTTGTCCATTCAGTGTTTGGTGCCTGGTCATTTATACTAAACTCACTGAGAATTTTTCAACCTGCAACCTTCCGTTCTAACAGGTATTTTAGATAATTGTCCGCTTAAATGTATTTTACACACTCAGGAAACCCAATAATGTTTTATGTTAGATATTGTGTATTCTTTTTCCTTTTTGAGGAAGAAAATCTCAACTCTGACAGTAAACCAAGTGTTCTGACCAATGGTGAAAACAAAAACACAGTTGCTTCAGTGGAGCAAACTCCATCAGAGAACGGAAGTCAAATAGCTGCTGATGTACCTGCAGCTGTTGAGGCCCCTGTCA